CAAAAATGTGCATCATCTTACGTAGACCATTTATAGTTACTAGTAGGGCGATGATCGATGTGCAGTAAGGGGAGTTGTCTATGAAAGTAAATGATCATGATGTAACTTTTAATGTCTTAAAATCTATGAAATTCTCTTCTGAATAATATGAGGATTCATGTTTTATGCTGAATTTAGTGGATCGATTTAGTAGAAGCCAATTTTAGAAAATTTGTGAAGCTGATATAGTAGAGTTAAGCTTGATTGAGGATGATAGACATGACTCTAGGGAAGAATCAACTCTTTTTTTTAGAGGTCATTCTAAGGATTTATAGGGAGAGGTTTGAGTTGTTGGTCATCACTGGAAATTCTATACCTTTAGTCCCTTCTATAGAAGAACCAGCTGAATTAGAGATGAAAATTCTTCCTATATATCTGAATATGCTTTCTTATGAGATTCATCAACTTTGCCTATTATCATATCCTTAGAACTCAGTAGCATACAAGAGGAGAAATTGATGAGAGTTTTGGGGAGTTTTAAGTAAGGCTTTGGATGGACTTTACCAAACATTAAGGGGATCACTCCTTTAATATGCATGTACAGGATCCTTATGGAAGAAAATCATAAACTTAAGGCGAACCCTCAAAGAAGACTCAACTCTGTTAGGAAAGAAGTTAAGAAAGAGACAATGAAATGGTTTGATGCACACATTATTTATCCCATCTCAGATAGTGCCTAGGTTAGTCATATTTATTGTGCACTTAAAAAGGGGGAGTGACTGTTGTAGTGAATGAACAAAATAAATTAATATCTACTAGAAATGTCATTGGTTGACAAATTTGCATTGATTATAGAAAATTAAACATAGTCATGAGAAAATATCATTTCCCTTTACCCTTTCTTAACCAGAAGCCGGATAGGCTAGCTAACCACCCAATTTTAATTTTTTAGATGGATATTCATGATACAATCAGATTCCCATAGCTTTGGAGGATCAGAATAAGACCCTATTCATGATCCCATGTGAAACTTTCACCTTAAGAAGGATGTTTTTTCGACTGTGCAATTCACCTACCTATGGAGGGAAATCAAGGGAAGGAAGAAGAAGGAGAAGATGTTGGCTACGAGTGATTTGACTGCCGTTAAATGATATTGTTGACTTGAATGTTGCTACTACTGATAGTTGATTTATTTTTTTGTTTTCATTAAGCTGTTATGTTATGTGACTCAAATTGATGTGATATGGAACTTTGTGATTCTGTATAAATTTTATTTGGACATCTATCGATTGTAACTAATTTGAACACTCTTCTAATATTATTTTCTACTATTCTAAGATAAACAAATGTTATTGCATACATCTGAATAATGTAAATATTAATTTCAATTAGATCAGAACCCATGATTTCTTACTTTTCCGGTTTTCTACGTTAAAACCTTTAATAATGCATCCTCTGTCAACTATTCTTTTATTTGTATTGGAATTTCATATAATATTAAGGAGTTTATATATCTCTATACTCATCAATGTTTTTGCTCACAACAATTGAATAGCTGATCAAATCATTTACTTGATAAAAATATTATGAATTTATCGCAATTTGACAATTCTTCCATCTTGTCTGTTTCTTGCGCAGCTAATTTTTTTTCAAAATAATAAAAAAATTATGAGATGAAAAATTATTGTATACGGATCCGATCCACACCGTAGATCACGGTAATCTACATTGAGGATGTATTTTGGTGGACCTCACTTTAAATTTTGTATTTTTTTAAAACAAAAAAAAAATTTGATTGCATCCTCACCATAGAACACCGTAATCTACGGTGTAAATCGGGTACTGCATGCATCTCTGCATGCGGCCGCATGCAATAATTTTCCAATCATAGAAGGGTAGAATAATAAAATGAGACATATAAATTATTGATTTGTACCTACAATGTTTTTTATTGCAAATTATTTTGAGACAAAGCGACAAATCATTACATAAAATATACATCAAGTTTAATATCAGACGAATCTGAATCAAAATTGTCTTGTGATATAGAGCAACGCCACCAAACTGTATAGTTTTATTTTTCCTAAATATATTGGAATGGAAATGAATCAAGCAAAGTAGAGTGGCACTATATTTATGTTTGAGCTTGTTTATAAAATTAAAGTTTGAGTTGATTTTGAGCCCAAATTGAACTATTGGGGTTGTGTTCAAGCTTGAACTTATTTATAAAATTTGAGCTCGAGCTCTAATCAATCTTTGTGTTTATGTTCAAGTTTAGTTTTCATTTGAGTTTGATTTTTGTTCGTTTCATGTGATGATAATCGAGTTAATATCAAACAGATTAATGAGTAAATTATCAAGCTATTTAATTTCTATGCAAACAAAATTTATCGCGCATTAAATTAATAGTATTGATGTGTGCTAGAACATTTGCAGCAGTAGAGTGACGGATAAACGTCTTAGCAGGTACGAAGATTCAACACCCAAAAAAGAGAAATAAACTAATAATGATAAGATAAGTTCTTACGTGGAAAACCATAAAAGAGAAAATTCATGGGGACTGACCCAGCTGAAGAGTTTTACTATAAAAAGATGATTAAAATTGCGACCACTTATCCCACAGGCGGGAATGAGTTATTAGGTTTTCCAAGTTACAACACTAACTACCACCGATCACCTTTGGCCGACGCAGTTCTCCAAAACCCTATCCCAACAGGTTTCAAACTCTCAAACATTGATGTCTACGAAGGGGTAACTGACACATACGAGCATGCCGACCACTATCAAACCATCTGATGCACTTCTTTGTCAAGTGTTCCTAACAACTCTCAAGGGTCAAGCTCGCACATGGTTCTACTCTCTCCTTGGGGGCACCGTCAACACTTTCAATGAGATCATCAGATAGTTCGTAGAGCAGTTCATAGCAAATAGAAGAATCATCAAAGATTCATCTCATTTATTAGGAGTTCTCCATAATGAGGGGAAATCCTTTAAGGAATACTTCTGCAGGTTCCCTACTGAAGCTCGCTAGATTCCTGGAGTGGATCCAGAGTTACTGAGAGGAGTCTTCCTTGGAGGGCTCAGCCCAGGAAATTTCTATTTATCACTTATGCGGAAGACAATGCACTCTTACACTGATCTCATCCATGGCATCGAAGCTCAAATCTCTGCAGACGATGTTATCATTGCACATAAGGAACAATTTGAGTGATTGAGGGAACAAACACAAGAATAACGTCGAGGATACCAATCAAATATCACAGCGAAAAAAGTCCAGACCACGGGGGAATCATGAGCCATGATTAGAAAAATATACACGCCACTCAACATGTCACATGTCAACATCTTAATGAGTATTAAGGATAAAGAGATCGTCAAGTGGCCAAGGCTGTTAAGAAATCCAGATGGTGGAGACCAGTCTCAATATTATCATTTCCACCATGCAAAAAGACATTTGATAGAAAGATGTTTTCAATTAAAGAAAGAAATATAACATTTGGAACACAATGGTCACCTCGTTCGCTACTTACAAGAACAAGGTGAAGGGAGCCAGAAGAGAATCATTAAAGTTATCGAATGAGAAGTACAACTCCATCAAATGTTGTCTAATCGAATGAAGCTCTCTGGATCGTCCGATTAAAGTGGTTAATACTCCTAAATTAATTGTACTCTGAACATAATAAATAGAGCCCCACCCCTCTCATGAGAGGAAAGAGAGCTTTAGGGTTGAGAAAGGACTTGAAGCTCTGAGGAGATAAGGTCTAGCACCACTCCTGTCATAGTTGATCACCGCCGACCACCGTCAATCACCACCGACCACCGTTGATCACAGCCTATCGTAGTCGACTGTCGTTGATCACCGCTAACCACCATCGACCACCACATGTCGGCCTATACAGATGGTCATCAGCCGTCACCCACTTCTTACAACAAGTTCATTTGTGCACCGACGTTGTAACTTTGAAGAATGTTCAACTAATTTCCTCGTGTGGGACAAGGGATTGTTCATATAATATCCATTATTTAGCCAATTTCTTCAGTTGGACCAGACCCCGTGGTTTTTTCCTTTTCTGGGCTTTCTATTGAAAAAATTTTGGTGTCATTACTAATTATTTTTTCTCTTCTGAGTGTCATGAATCTTCGTACCACCGTACCGCGTTAAGACGATAATCTGCTACTTTACTGTCACGAATTTTCTAACTCACATCAATATTATATATGTAAATGTTAATATTTATTTTACCTAAATGCATCTAAAGTACTATCTCCTGTACCTACAAAGTGAATACTGAATTTAATTTCATATATATAACAAACTAAGGAATTTGAATAAAGATTTTGTTAGAAATATTTAAAATTAATAGAATGATACAATCATTATAAATATACATCAAGAATATACCAACACAAATTTCTATGAGATCTAATGGTCCAAAAGAAAAGGATACTACAAAGGAGGGTCCAAGCATAAGAGACAAAGAGGCCTGACTTACCCAATACCCAATTTACGAACTAAAGACAAGCAAGGAGAAAGATAGAAAGAAGAATCTAAATCTGAACCGATTAGACTAAGCAAGACATATAAACATCCAAACAAACCTCCACTGTAAAGCCAAGTGAAAGCATCGACCTACCAATCTATAGATTGGTCACAGGGAAAACATCCAATTCCTTGCCATCAGCAGCTGTCAGACAGACGCTCCTAAGATTCCTCTTAAGAGATCAAGAATTAACAATACAATAGAACCTGACAAATCACAATAATTCTGAAGGACCCCTTAGTTAAGAAATGAGCTATCTATCGGCTTAAAATCCAGCCGACCGGCCATGCCGACTCAGTTAAGCAACCGGACTTACTGATACCCCTCTCCACTCTTATGCTTTTTCATAGACAAATCATAATTCAACAATAAAACTCATACATTGAACAAAGCTTAGAATTAAACAAGCATTATACATTGAACAAAGCTAATAATTAAACAAGCATTACACATTAATAACATGCATGATACAATCTGATCAAACTCAAATTTCTACAACTATGATTACTACTCACAATTTACAATATACATCAAATAGATAAAAACAGAGACACAAAAACAAAAATCCACAGAGACTTAATGGAGCTTACAAATAAGATTTCTCTCACCGGGCCTTCCATAGTACTCACCGTACATATCCAATGCAGGAGAAAGAAAAGATGACCTGACGGCTCAAGCGCCGGAGGTGGCCTGAGCTCCAGACGATGCCCAGATGATGTCATTCAGAGCTGGCCGGAGCTCAGAGCTACAGAACCGCCGGTACTCAAGTGAATCGCCCCCATCCTTCTTCACATCCACCACCAGCAGAGAGGGTGCCACCGCGAATATCTCTGCGGCCACCGCAAGCCGCCCTCTCCGGCCACTCTTCAGCCCCTCGAGCCTCACCCCGGCTGCCGAGCTCTTAGTCACCCGAAGCCTTCCAGGTGCTCTCATCGCCAACTCCTCAAGCCTTGATATCACACCGCTCGCCGGCTCCTTCGTGAAGAACCTCATTCCTTCCTCCCTACTCTCCCCGCTCTCAAAGAGCGCCGATAGATCGAAGCCCTCGGACAGAGATATCAGATGAAATGCATTAAGCTTCAGGGGCTCCTCGCCTTCTTTCTTCTCAGATGCAATCGAGGTATCGGTAACTGATTTTGGAATAGGGTTTTTTCTAAACCAGGGAATTTCGATCAGCTTGGCTACGGTGATGCGGGTTTTGGGATTAGGATCGAGCAGCTTGTTGATCAGGCGGCGGACGTCGGGAGAGAACCAAGGCGGGCACCGGAAATCACCTCGGTGGATTTTCTTATACATTGCGACGATGTTGTCATCCTGAAAGGGAAGGAACCCGGCGAGAAGTACGAAAAGGATGACTCCACAAGACCATAGATCGGCCTTCGCGCCATCGTAACCCTTCTTCCCGATGACCTCTGGCGCGACGTAGGCCGGAGTACCGCAGGTGGTGTGGAGTAGGCCGTCTGTGTGCACATGATCGGCGAATGCGGAGAGCCCGAAATCAGCGACCTTGAGGTTACCAACATCGTCTAGTAGGAGATTCTCCGGCTTGAGATCTCGATGGTACACGCCGCGCGAGTGGCAGAAATCGACAGCGGAGATCAACTGCCGGAAGTAATGACGAGCTAAATCCTCGCGGAGACGGCCTGATCGGGCGATCTTGGAGAAGAGCTCACCTCCTCGCACAAGCTCCATCGCGAAATAGATCTTGGATACCGTCGCCATCACTTCATGGAGCTCGACGATGTTCGGGTGAGTTACCATTTTCATAACAGATATCTCGCGCTTCACATGCTCCGTCATTCCCACCTTGATGACCTTCTCTTTGCCTACCACTTTCATGGCGATGTTCTTGCCGGTACGGAGGTTGCGGGCGATGTAGACCTTAGCAAAGCTGCCCTGGCCGAGAACGCGGCCGAGTTCGTAGCGGCCTCGGAGGACGTTTCGGCCTTCTGAGTTTGGAGATAGTGAAGATAGATCTTCCATTTTGGGGCGTGATGTTTGCGCTTAAGAGGAGGAAGATGGAAAGAGATGGGAGGAGGAGGAGAAGAAACGGAGGAGTCTACCCGTCCTCGACATGCTTCCGATGAAAGGACCGACCGGCGTGCTGCTTGCGTTTTACGGCAAGGTCGGGGTCAGATCTCCTCATCTCGATGCATTCCTCGGCGGAGTAGGGAGAGGAGGGAGGGATGGAATGAGCTGCGCAGCCGGGCGCAGGAGGCAGGTGGCAATTGAAATATGGTTTGCAGAAGGTACTGTCGTGTTCGACCTGATGTCTGATATGACTGAAGTAGGGGGTTTTATGTAAAGCAATTAGAATTAGGCGGAGTTCAATTTGGTGGTCTGCATTTACGGGCTAGTTTAGTTGTCATTTAACATGTGACATATTACATACTACTAAAATTAATGGTAAATAGTGTATTATTTAATGAAAAAATAGTTAAACATATTTTGCATGTGAGCTTATTTAATGATAATATATCATAGTTTAATTTTATTGATGTGTGATTATCCATTACATATTCATTTTATTGATGTGTGATTATTTAGCATATATTTATTGTTTATTATATGGGAACTTTACATACATAGCATCTTATTCTCATGCATTTACTTATCTCACGTTTAAATTTTAATTTTTACAAGTAAAACATCTTTTTCTATGTTTGAAAAGATATATAAAAATATAGATTAAGTTTTTTCCTATAGGAAGGGTGCTTAACTTATAAAGTTTAGGTGTGAGATAAGTAAATTCATAAAAATTGAGCGCTATGTATGTAAAAGCCTCTTATGATAATTATATTTTATATAATTCAAATATGACTTTTAAAATTTGTCTTTATCACTGTTGATTTTTATTTAGGATTAAAGAAGAAATTTCCTAACAATAAGAATTAATTTTAAAACAATTGGTCCTTAATTGTCTTTGGTTCATATTAAAATTTTGTTGATTTAGAGGAAGTGAGAAAAGCTCAAAAAAGACAATAAAATAGAAAGAAAAATCTATTAATTAATAGCTAAGGTTCATCAAAGGGGAAAACAATCAAAATAGGTGAATCCTTAAGCCTCCTTGAGAACTCTTATTTATAGTTTAGGGTTTGACGTCTGCCTGCATTGTAGCTAAAGATTGATTAATAAATATGTAAAATAGACCAAGAAGTAGAAGAGGTATATATTGCTTGGATGCAAGCTAGGGCTTGGTGGTTGACTAGCTAAATAGAATAGGATGCCTAATCTTCTAATAGATCAAATTGCATCTATGATCCAAATAAGTATGTTGGCCTAATTAGCTTATGAAGCTCGATTTGAATGAATGTAAAATCTTCCTTGAGTCGTAGTGGATGCTTGCTTTTGGTGAGTGTTTGCTGGCCTCATCATTGATAGGTAGAAATATAAAGCCTGATAATAAAATATTATATTTTGGACTCAACTAGTGATACTCATCCATCTAATATAAACCAATGAATTAAAAAAAGCATTTGTGAGGCCTAAATGCCACAAACTCAATATAGATAAAAAATCAACATATCCAAATATCAACTAATCCTTAATATTTCTCTACAAGGGCATGAAGGTTGTGAATGATCAAATTTTTTCCATAAAGATTGATGGTTGAAAAAGTATAATTTTTTACTTTTTCATAAACAAACGAGTTAAAGTTCTCCATCATTATTGTTTAATGTCATATAAAAGGGTAATAAAAGAGTTAGTTGGGTATCACTATCTTAATGCTCATGTATTTTCAATTGAGTTGAATATTTCTTAACAAGATCATAACAAAGAAATGCAAATGATTGAAATTTATGTGTGAAGATTGACAAGAGAGATGGTTCAACTCTAAACTAGTTCCAAAAAAAATGGTTCAACTCTAAACTAGTTCCAAACTAGTTCCAAAAAAAAAAAGGAATAGGAGATGTTTAATTCCTATGATGGCTCAAATTGAATTAACCTTTAACTTGGGAGATAAACATGGCTTCACGAAGTGAGAAAATGACAATGAAGGAAAATAGACTGAGGGAGAGAAAATAAAGAGAAAAAAAGATTAAGTAGTTTAACAACCAAACCCCCATTCATTGTAAGGAGATGGGGTGTTATTTCATTAAGTAAGAAAGAATGAATTTGCAAGTCTTCATCTGACTTGAGCATCTGTCCACTAAATGATGATCAAAATATAAGATGTTTCTATGAAATTGGCTATCTAAATGTTATCTTGAGATGGATAGTAGGATGGAGTGTAGAGGATTTATTTTTGTAGCAAAATTGATATTGTGACACATAAAATACCATAAAACGGCTCAATGCAACATGTCAAAGATCAAATGATCAGTTTGTTAGCATGCATTTATGATTTTTGAGTGAGATGATAATTTATCAAAAATAATTTTTATGGACACTATGGAGCATGCTCATTATTATGTAGGTGTGGTTGCCATGATTATCACCAATGTCATATATATATAATCTAAGGAAGGCTATCTACAATTGCATTATCTCTTTTTTCCTCACAATTTTTAAAGATTTTTTTATTAGGGAAGTGTGTTAGTGTAAATCATCTGAACATTAAGCAATGTTATAGGGTTTACACATTGGATTGCCTTTTTAGTGACTACCGATTAGGCATGGGACTTATCTAACTATCATACATATTTGAGCTAACTCTTTATTAGCTCGTGAGAATTTTTACGAAAATCTTACCTATTAATATGACTTTCACAGGCCTTTTTGATGATTTTCAAATAAGTAAAAACCTTGTTTAATTACCTACCTAATTTGATGAGCCACTTGTTCTTTCAGTAAATATCACATCTAACACTAGTTTTCCTCTATTTCTCACACATTAGGGAAATTGATTGAGATATTTGAATAGTTAATGACCTTAGCTTCTCATTTGTTATATTAGGGCTTGCTCTCTAGAAATTACTCTTAATGAATTCTGAACAAATTGGAATCTAATGTGTTTTTATATTCTGTCAATGTGACTTTTATATGTTACTCATTAGAATATTTAGTAAATGTCACATCCAGATGATGATAATAATTAAGCATAGAGAATTAGAGCTGAATGAACCCGAGCTAATGATGATATCTATTATGGAGAGAGGTTTTATACTATGTAAAAAGAATTAAATAAAAAAAATACATTCTTTGATGCTCTTTAGGGGTCAATAATTGAGTAGGTATGTGATGGAGCCTTTATGACTTGAAATTGGTGTCCACAACTCTGATATATGCTTTTTAAATGATAGTCCTTAAATGCACAACTTATAAGAAGAAAGGCCCATTGATTTCCTCAAATACTTAATAATAAAGGAGGTTTTTTTTATTTGTCACCTAAAACTTGTGATTTTTCAAAAATAAATGAGGGTCTACTGATGACAAGCTCAAAACTTTACAAATCTCAACAAATGGCTACAAATTATGTATATATAGATGTATGTCAATTGATTTAAATGGGACCAATTTGTTGTAGTAGGGAAGGCTTTGTATTTTGATTTTATATTTTTATGTTTTATAATAAGTCTCACATAGTGTATCTTCATAAATTTTTATTAATCTATAAAACTATTTTATACATTAGGAGAATTTTTATTTTACATTATTCTATTGAATATATGCAAATATTTTTGTTATTTTTTAAAATATCTATAAATAAAAATGATGCCATTTCATATGGTTTAAATATAACAAGAACATGATATGCAAATTTTTGGAACCCATGGTATCAGGATTTTCTTAACCATTGCTTCCCATTTGATTATTGATAGAATATAAATAAAAAATAAAAAAAAGGAAATATAAGCAGTTATCCTCACGTGGGTAGTGGTGCAAACGAATCGAACATGAGCGAGCCCAAGCTCAGATCATGTCTAACTCCTTAAGAAATACAATTGCTCGTATTCGGCTCGTTTATATTCGAACAAAAAAGTAGGCTTGTGTTCAACTTGTTTTTTTAGCGAGCAGAACATGCAAACGAGCCGAACGCAAGCTATTTGCTAACAAAGAGTCATTTTGACAAACCTAATCATGTAACCGTAGGATGTTAAGAGTTGTGGAGAAATTTAAATCTTCTTACATACATACATACATACATATATATATACATACATACATACATATATATACACACACATATATGGATATATCTATATACACACACATATATAGAGATGAAGATATATATATATCCTTATATGTGTGTGTATATATATATATATCCTTATATGTGTGTGTATATATATATATATATATATAGATATACACACACACACACACACACACATATAAGGATTTATATATATATATACACACACATATAATTTAATTATTTCAAATCAGACGAGCCCCACAGACGAATAATTTTTTTTTTGTTTGACTCATTTATATATCAAGCGTAAAAAATTATTCATATTCGGTTCGCCAACTTAACGAATGAATCAAACACGAGCTTCTTAATGAGCCGAACACAAACTATTCGCAAACAACGGTTCGTTTTGACAGCCCCACAACACATGGGTCATTATCAATATGATTTTTGGATTTTTGGAAGAAACTACCGGCTAAAAGCCGGAGCTGGAAATACATGTGAAGTGTGTGGACCAGATTCGTGGCTCACATGGTTTCAGCAGCTTCTCCCTTGCTCTCCTGGGACCTCATTCGATCGCTGAGAACCTCAATTCTCATCTTAAGGATGACTCAATTTTCAATGTACTTCTTGTTTTGTTTCAGAGGCATTTACATACATACCACTCAATTTTTATGAGTTTATATATCTCACACCTAAATTTCACCTTTTTACATTCATGCTACCCAAATCTTTCATATTACATAAAATATTACCATTTTAATTTTTTAAAAGTGAAATACATAATATATAAGTGAAAATTAAAATTTAGGTGTTATGTAATTGTGTGGTAAGTATGTAAAAATTTTCCATATTTAGTTTGAATTTCATATTATATCTTCTAGTAGCCTATCAGCTTTCACTAGGGGTGTAAACGAACAGAACACGAACAAACAGAGCTTGTGTTTGTGTTCGGTTTGTTTGAAATTTAGTTTGTTTGAAATAAACTCGTGTTCGAAATTGTTCGTTTGTTGTTCGTTTCTAAACGAAGGAGCCGAACACGAGCTGTTTGCGAACGACGAGCCAGGTTGACATCGCTAATATTAATATATATGTATAAATAATATATTATATTAATTATATAACTTATATTATATAAATATATAATATCTATATTAGTATATTACTAATATAGTATATTAATATATTATTATTATTAATTTATTATATATTATAATTTATAAATTTAATTTTTTAAAATATCATAAATTT